TGTCTCTTTTTCAATTTTTTTCTTATAAAAATAATGCCACGTGGTTCGTGCAGGTATTTCGCTTCGTGCAAGTATTTCGCAGGTCTTTATCTATTCTTTTGAAAATACTGAACTGTTAATTTGTTTAAACAAGTTCTGGGAATTGGTGAACAATATATTGGTTCAATTCGAAAACTACAAAAACTTTAAAAATCAAACAACAGTTGAAATCTATAAGGAAATAAATATATCATTACAAATCAATTTTTAAACAGAAACAAAATTTTAATCGAAAATTTGTCATTAACTCAATTACACCACTAAAACATGCCATTTTGAACAGAGTGTCCAAAAAAATGCACTTAAGTCCCAAGTTAAGGATTTTGGAGTAAAAATGACAAAAAATTGGATTTTTGATTGATTTGATCAAAAAATAATTGATTTTTGAAAGAGACAAAAATAACCATAATTTATCACGAAATTTTACAACAAAATTTATAACATCTTGTTTGTATATTTTTCCCGAAATATTAAATTGAACACCAACAAATTTAGAATAAAAAAATAAAAATAGTTTAAATGTTAAGCAAATTACTCAATTTACAAAATGTTTGTGTACACAAGCTAAAACAATAACAAAAGACTTACCATATTACTTGAAATTTATAAACATTCAAATATATAAAAAATAATTTATATGAGAAATTTTGAATAAAAATGTTGAGAAAAATAAGAATTTCAAGATAAAAATGAGAATTAAATCTTTTAATTGTTTGTTTTTGTCGTTTAATTATAATTAATAAAAATACTTAAGATCTAAAAAATCAATGGAAAAATCACCGAACAAACGCGACCCAACTTTGAGAAGAGAAAAAAATATATTCAATTGTGTTAAGAAGTACTCTACAATACCATTATATGAAGGCAAAAAAACTTATTACTTTTGTCCATTTTGTTTAAGATGTTTTATTTACAAGACCAACTTAAAACACAAGATGTATTGTTCTAAATATACAGAACCGAAGAACCAATTATTTTTTAATGATTTTCAAACACGTACACAAAACTACATTGAAAAGGCAAAACTCTATTTTGAAAAATACATCAATGAAATTTATCACACCCGTTCAAAACTTCAAATTCCGTCAACTCTGAAAATAATAAAACAACAATCGGACTTAATAAATGAAAATAATTGTTTTGAAAGTGAACAAGAACATAAAAACGAAGTGATTTCATTTCATAAGAGTGAAATTGTGTCTGATTTTTATAAACTAATTGGTTGTGACAAAACTTCAAAAAATGTAATTTCAGAACTAAAATCTCAATTGACGTCAACTTCACATTCAAAAAGAGAAGAAAAAAAACGCAACGTGTATTTAAGTAAAATTTTTTCTGTTTCCACCACAGAAATTGAAAATAAAACGTCAATGTCGAAACAACAAATCAAAGCAGTTGAAACCATAGTTAGCAATTTTGCAAATTTGTTTCTGGATGAAAGTGTGTATAACAATTTAATGAAAAATATACACATTTCATACAGCAACACAATAAATATAATAAATTCATTAAGCAATGAAAACATGGTTGAAACAGAAAGATATTTTAAGAATTGTGTGTGCTTTTCTTTGGCGTTTGACGGTACCAAAAAGAAAGGTAAAGAAGTTCTGGGACTTATAGGAAGGTTTGCTTTTGAAGACTTCTCTGTTGCTCAAGTCACTCTTGTTATTGGAGAAATACACAAGAAGACCAATTCAGAAAATTTAAAAGAATGGGTATTACATCAATTAGAAACATTCAAAGCTCCAATAAAGAAATTGGTATTTTCCACACAAGATGGGGCCAGTGTTATGAGTAGTCTTGATAATGGGTATGGAGTTAAAATAGGAGAAGTCAAAAACAGAATGATTAAAACGGAAAATGAATTACAATTACAAAATAACTTGCATAATACAAAAGATTTTGATTTAATAGAAAATGTTTATATGTCTTTTTATTGTATGTGTCATAGATTGAATGTTGCCGAAGGTTATTTGTGGAAAACTCATGATGGTCAAATTGTACTCAAGTTTTTAAATTGCATATGTTCTGATAGTATTATTACAGAATGGAATAATTTTGAAAGTGAAAAAGGATTGAAGTTTTGTAAAATACCCACTTTGTCAAATACAAGGTGGTTTTTCCATGAAAATTTGGTCGAATTTGTTTTAGAAAATGTTTTAGAATTGGACAATTTTATTACTATAACGGGTTATGATTTAACAATTACTAATTGTCTTATTGAAAAACATAATGAAATAGTAAACCAAAAAAAACAATTTATATTATTTATTCATGGGAAAGCGAAAAGATTTGTTTGACTTAAAAGACCCGTTGTTTCTGTCTTTTCTGGGTTTTTATTTAGACATTTTGAAACAAACGAAAATCGTTTGTGATACAATACAAGAAAAATTTGGCATGATTTATGATGAAATTGAAATGATAAATTTATTGATATTTGACATGGAAAAAAAGGAATATAATATTTCAATGGGTATATTTGATGATTTTCCAAATGTATTAAAATATTTATACTTTGATTCAAATGATTTGGTTTGTTGTTGTGGAGCGGTGATTAGTGGATTTTTGGATGCACTTAAATTACGTTTTTGTAATATCACGACTGCGAAAACTGGTGCAAAAATAGAGAACTTAAATGAAGTCAGATTACTTTTAGAAGAAAAACAAAATTTACAACCTTTCATTGATTGTTTTACTTTCCCTGAAAGGTATTTAAAAAACAAACAAATTAAAGTTGAAAGTGGATTTTTTGAAATTAATTCAGAACTTGAAAAAATTAAATTAATGATCGAACAAAATGAAAATATAATAAATGAATTATTAAATAAAAATTCTATTGAAACTTTTAATTTACTTGATGCGCTTGACTTATTTGGAACAACAACATTCCCTTATTTGACTCAACTTGTCCAAGTTTTAATATGTCTTATTCCAACCTCTTCATGTGTTGAATCCCTTTTTTCTTATTATAGGTATTCATCAAAAATTAATATGAAAACAACAACTGTAAATAAAAGACTCAAATTGAAATATGCAACATCTACTGTGACAAAAATCAATACACGCAAAAAGAAAAGTGAATAAGTTTTTGGTTGTGTTTACATCAATAAAAAACAATGATTTGTGTGTTTATTAACGCGAAAATGTATTGATGTACATGAAAAATGCATCTTGGGTAATAATTTTTTACTCTTAATTGGTTTAATTTTTATCAAACAAATATGTACATGTATTTGAATAACCAATAAATTTCAATTATTTTTTTGTTAATTAAGTTGTATTATAAAAAAATAAAAATTTAAACCAATTGATAGTTTTTGTGGTGATTGTAGTTTTTATAATCTATTTTTATTTTTTAATCAGTTCTTTTATCAAAACAATCAATTTGTTTTTTTTGATTTTTCCTTAACTTGGGACTTAGACGTTTTTTGGACACTCTGTTTTGAAAGATTTTTCACTTTGCACATTTAACAACATTAATTATTTAAAACTTATTTTACAAATATTTTTACATAAAAATAAGATTATATTAAACATAAATAAATAACATAACAAATTAGAACACTTTATCATTTGAATATAAATAATTTTATATTGTTGAAAATAAACAAAATTCTTGTATATTTACTTATCTGACTAAGAAAGAGTTGTTTTAAGTAATAAAATGTGTGATAACAAAAATTGTTATAAGAATATTGCTTTTTTCGTTATAATTGAAAATGAATATGCAAAGAGATGTAAATGAACAAATACATGAAATTAAAAATGAACCATGGACTTAACACTTTCACAACCCAAAACTTTTTTTTAAGAAGAAAAATAAGTAAAAAAGAAATTGTCTAAATCATTTTTTTATTATTTTTATTCCAAAACCCCTTTCTAACCCAAACCGGCCAATAGTCAGTTTTATTTTACTTAAAATAATTAACAAATGAGAACTCAATTACCTAAGATTGATCAAAAATAATCTTTTTGGAAAAAATTTCATATCGCTTTATTGTGTTTCAACATTTAATATAAAACGCTTCATCGTCAATCCACTTAATAACAAACAAGGTCAAATAGTCACATTAATAATTATAACTACTTTAAAAACACTATTTACGTTATAATCAAATGACAATATACTTTTTATAAAAAACAACCAAATATATTAAACCATCATTAGACCCCATTTTTCTTTTTAATGCTTTGCTCTTGTTTTACACAAACAAACTCATTCATGTTTATTTGTGTGACTATAAAATATACAATTCAATTTTGAGTTGATAAAAAAATAAATAAAAATTTTCAAAAATTTGTTTTGTGTATGAAGGCAAAAAAGGGTTTAGGTAAAAGAAAAAAATAAAAACTTATTATTATTACGTTTCTGTTTTGAACGTGTTAAAGCAAAATGTCAAAAAACAAATATTTGATTAAATTAATTGTTTTAAACAAATTGTCTTTGTTATAATTTATAATTAAAAATCATTTTCTTAAGAATTTTGTGTTGTTAAGTTATTATCAACTTATAAATCTCTATCCAATTAATTCGAAGATTCTTTTGGTATTCAAATACATTTTATTTTTATTACAACAAATTATTATAATAAATTAAATTAAAAATTATAATTAATTAATTATAATTGTAATTATAAAATACAATGGTAATTTATTTGGGGC